TCGACCCGGATCCAGGGTATGTCTATCGTAGTCGATGGTGCACAGTTAAACACTTTCGTCAACGGTATGACGGGGAGAAAGATGGCGATGCCCGCCTCGAAGCTATGCCTGCAGTAGATGCTCTTCTTAAGCTGGACGAGATGTCCCTTGAAGAGATCGGCAGTGCCTTGAAGGCATGCGATTTAGCCGAACGACCGGACGAGGAGATAAACTCGTCATCGCTTCTGGATATAACTTTCTTGGAGGACACCAAGAGAATGCTGAAAGCACGAAGTGGATCGTCGTTCCAACGAATCGCTTGGATCCGTATTATCCTCTGGTAAAGGAATATCAAGACGTCGTCTCCAAAGACCCGTCTTCGGTCCTACCTCCGGACCGAGGTGTGCGTGATGAGATTGACCTGGTTCCGGGAACCAAATACTGCGTAGCACGCCAATGGCCCCTGTCCAGGAGCAGTGCCACGTCATTTCCGACTTTTTTCGTGTAAAGCACGACGCAGGGATGGTACGTGATAGCAAGTCTCCCCATTCGGCACCCAAGTTTTGTGTTCGGAAGCCGATTGGCAAGTGGCGTATCGTTCATGCTTACAATAAGCTCAACGCTGCCACCATTTCAGCACAGTCGCCGATTCCTAGAAAGGATGTTCTCAGAACAACATGGTGGGAGGTACGAAGTACAGTGCACTCGATCTGGTAGATGGGTATTACCAATTGCTCATGATAGCGAGGAATATTCCGCTGACAGCGGTGACCACTCCGAGCGGCATGCTCTGGGAGTGACTGGTGATGCCCCAAGGGCTGTCAAATGCACCAACAACATTTTTTAATCGTCTTGTGACGCAATTTTCAGGCCCCACATGGCGTATGCACAGAATTACTTTGACGACATTTCCGCTCATAGTCATGCGGAGCACGGGAGGGTAGTAGTACACAGAACATACTTTTTTAAATATCCTAATTTAATTCCCAAAATACCCAATCTCAACCAATAATGCCCCATTTCTGATACCCAAAAAAGTATATCACCACATAAAGAATCAACGCACATTTATCACCCAAAATAGTTTCGTGCCAAAACCCAAGATTCAGTCCACACACAGAAGCTCCAAAAGCCAAATCATTGTCTTTCATTAGCCAAAATCACCGAAAAAAACATGTTGCGTAACGCAGATTCGTGCAGCTTTTTGATACTGCTATCCTTTGACTGCTCTTCTCACTCTATAGTCTTTGATCACTTCATAAAGCAACCATCCAAAGAAGATAGCTATTTCAATAGCGACTAATATGCTCATGCCTCTATACTTGCTCAGAGATGTAACATCGCGACTCTAAAATCAAGCGTATTAATTAGCTTAAGCTCATGCATATCAATAAGCAAATTCTTTAGCTCCTTGATCAACTCTGGGTTGTCGTTCCCAAGTGCAACTTCACCTCTCAGCTTATTAAATTCTTGTATGAGACGATTATTCGGGTCTTCCAGTATTGACTTGTTCGAGTAGTACAGATGCGTGAGCTTCAACAGCTTGAAAAACTTGATCTTCTCACTGTGATCAAGAGTTTCATACAGCTTCTGGTTGATGTTTCCTTCAAAGACTAACTCAGACACGAGCTTGGTCATTTCGTCGCTCATCTTAAACTGATTTTTCGCTGATGTTCGGTTGTTGTGCTTGATGTTGAGCACGTTGTTGTGGAGATCCGGAAGACGGATGAACTTGCTTCCGAGTACCCGGTATTCCATCTTTGATGCTCCAACTGCATCCCTCAGATTCTTGGTATGATTTACTCCCGCCCCACGTAATCCTCTCCCCTTCAGCGAGTGCTTCTCGATAAATCCCTGAAGATCTGGATCATCTTTAGGTTCTATGCCGTACGTATCAAGAGAGTCGATTCCGAAGTCTCCATCAATGTTTCATATTGTCTCCAATGCATCAAAGAGTACTTTTCGATAGTACGAGTTCATTTCACTTGGTGGTCTAACTTGGCGATCATCGATCACATCACGCAGTGTCTTCCAAATTTTAGCACAACTCTTACCCCACGCGATGTTCTTTGGTATCGTCACCTTTTTTCCCGTCGTTCGACTAACAACCTCACCATCGACACCGAATATCTTGTAGAGATTCTGCGGATCTTCCTCGGTCGGGTCTATTATGTAGATCGGGATTTGACTATCAACAATTCAAGAAATCTGCTTGAAGATGTACTTGATGCGCTCCTGATAGTTAATTGCGGGACGCTTGCTGTCTGGCCTTACATTCGAGAATGAATTAGATGATGCACGCTTCCTTACCCTTCGAAAGTTAATTGGAGTTCTTTCGGTGTTGAGATCCTTCTTCATCTTGATCGATCGATGCAGAAGTCCAAACAAAGTATTGTACCAAGATAGCTTTACTTTATGAGGGAGCAGGCCTATAGCTTCGATAATTTTTCTGTCAGTATTAGCGTCTTGAGAGCTGCTACTATATCCTTCTAACTTCCGGCTGGAAAGTCTGTGATGCTGAGCTTGATTGGTACATCACTATCCTCGTCAGCCATAAGCTCTCTCTCATGTTGCTATTTTACTCGATCGGCATTTATCTCATTCATCCGCTCAAAATTTGCATTGTCTCTGAGTCTATCAAAGCCATCTTGCAACAGCGACTTATCGCGTGCATTCTCTGCAATTAAATTAAGTTGCTTGATTCTCTGTTCTATTTTTCCTGCGATGTGATCTAGTGTTAGGATCCAATCAATGTCCCTCGCCTTGCTCTTTTTTCCCGATTAGATCTCCTCTTTCGTCGAAATACAACGAAGTGTTTTTTGTTTTGTTCCGCCTGATTAGACTCACATACATATTTTGTACGTATCGATCAGCATGGTGGAACAATTCAGCAAGCGACTGTTTGGCTACTTGTTATTCCTTCGATAGTATGGGCTCCACTTCTTCACCCCTATCTGTAGTTACATTGACTATTCTCACAGTGGGAGCAGGAGGACTTGGCGCGGAGAGCTCTGATATGTCCGTCGGACCGTGAGAAGTCCCAATACTCGAAGAGGTAGCCGAAACGTCCATAGGGAGGGGCGTCTGCTCAGCGGTTAGAGGTGGGAGAGAAAAAACACTACTGGAGCTTCCTGATGTACTTGTACTCGCGCTTGCACTGGAATCAGTTTGCGTACCACTGGTTGTAGTTGCCTTTCGTAAGTTTGATTTTGTAAGCATCGACATCAGAAGCCCAGAGCGCATTCTTGTAAGCCTCTTGTTTTGCTGTTTCAATTGCTTGTCATTATATTTTTTGTCTCTGTCTGCTTTATTCTTGAAACTCGAATACATATTTGCTTATATCCGACAAAACAAATTTACGAGAATAATTCTTCTCCCACTCTGACATTTGATTCTTTTTGATGAGACGTAAATTGTCCTGTATCTCCCATGTAGGTTCATCATATCCTCGCCATTTGATCAGGTACTTGTATTTCCCATTTCGCAGCTTCTTGTGCGAGAGTTTAGCATCCACCTCCCACACTTGGTTGTCATCCAATGGAGCATCAGTAGGCTGAGAGGATACGAGTTTCGGATCATTGGCACTCTTTTAGAGCACATGGTTGTTCTTCGATCGGATCTTTATCTTGTAACCATCAACTCCATCAACTTGATAGATCGTCTTGCTCCACTTGATTCCTTCCTTTTGGAACGCCTTTGGCTTCAGTCGATACATCACACCGCTACCTATTTCGAATGCGTTCGAAACTGTTTTCATTGTAGAATCATTGTGTCTCAACTCGAAGCCAATGACCTCCCCCTTCATCTCATTTGGAGTTGCTTTAATTGTGCTATGCTCGGTATTGTTGTACTTTCGAATGACTTTGTTCAGTAGCTTCTAAGTAGGTACCTTGTTTATCTTCGTGAGTCTCTGTTCCAACGTTCGATTAAATCGCTCAATCTTACCCATCGTATGGTGGTCACCCACTTCATTGTTGTAGTGCTCAATATTCTCTCCCTTGAGATAGCTCTGAACGCTCCGGTTGATGAACTCTCGCCCATTGTCACTCGTGAGGATGCTAACCTCTTGCTGCTTCTCAAATGCCTTGATTGCCTTCAATACTGTCTCTGCCTGCTTATTCGGAAGCAACTTTGCGTAACCTATTCGAGAGTTGATATTGTGCCCGTCAGTATAGTCTTCCCTTTGAAGAACATCAAGTCTATCTGCCATGAGTCTGGGTTGTAAGAAGCTATTTTGAACTGTGGGTATTGCGGCTTCTGGTGCTTAAATTGTTGGATACCTGCTGGGTCGCATACCAAACACGAACTTGCTTCAAGGTGATGCTAGCATCTCTCTGCTTTGCCTTCTGGTACAGCTTCTTAGCGGATATGAAACCCGTTTCAGGATCATAGTAGAGCTTTTTGAGGAAACTGGTCATTATATATTATTCTTCTTGAATGTCCAAGGGAACGGTAGATATGCCGTCTAAGACTCTCCGCTTGTCGTACCAATACGATAGACCTTTTTTGCGAGCCTCATATGTCATCGTCGTTTTCGTCTCGTAGTTGAATCGGAAGCCGCTGTTTAAAGCTGACAGACTCACCTTGTCGTTGATCACGGTATCGAATCCTTCTGGATTCAGCACGTCTTCATTCTTACCATGGGCCTGCTGAACTCCCTTCGCTGAATTCTTCTGTTTATACCCATTGTCAGGGTTATAGCAAATGTAGTTCTTCGGCGATAGGCTGACCATACTGTCGCCCCGCCATTCCTCTTTGAACAGTCCTGCAGCTCGCATGTCGTACTCCTTATGATCTTCACGCGAAAACCAATTCTCTTTGTCCTTTTCGTATTCTTCTCGAAGCTCCGGCTTGATCAAGTTAGGAAATGGCTGGTCATCAGGGAACGCAATATAAGCTGAATCGGTATCCATCTCAAGGTATTCGAAGTCGCTTCACTTGTCGATGAAGTCATAGTAAAACTGCAGCATACGAAGCTTAGCAAGCTGGTAAATGGCGATGCTACATGAATCGGATTGTTTAGCTTCACCTTTCGCTTATCTTTGCTGATCTCGTAGCAATCTCCATGCTTTTGTACAGGACCAATTGATCCAACAGCTCGATGTCTTGGAAGCCGAAGTGCTCGATCTCATCTTGAATCTTCTTTGGGTCTATCAGGTAGATCGTCTTCTTATGTTTTCCGATGTCCGTTCCAGAGCGACCGAATGCACTGTTGCCGATCAACTTCATCATATCAGCGATCATTTTTTTGGACTTGTCATGATCTCCTTGGCGACGTGCATCACAGACCTCAAGCATGAACTGTTTGAATGGAGTAGCCCGTGATGCTTTGATAAAGCTGTAGGTCCTCGTGACCACCATTCCATGAGCAAGGTACCACTAGAGCAACGGTGTGTAGATCAGAATCCGCTCTCCGAAATAGGAACCAATGAGCTTCTTGCTTTTCGTCTTTCTCTTATCATCTCCAAGATTTTGATTGCATTCATGCATATGATCTCCAATCACTTCCTTCTTGGTCGGATCGATCTCCGCATTCTTGAAGATAGGTGTCATCTCCGAGAAGTAGTCCTTCAGGTGCTCTGGAATCTCAATATCACATTCTAAGAAGCCGAAGATCTTATCATCCTTAATCACTTCTTTGTACGCTTCTATCTTGATCAATCGTCCGCATGGCATATCATATCCTAAGCACCAGAGATAGAGGGCATTAGCATCGTATGTAATCACCTTCTTACATTTCTTCTTCCCGCGAATACGTGTCTTGTTTCTCTCAGCATAGCGCTTAAATATGATTGAAGGACCGACGGCGATGTTCCTCTTCATCATGGAGTAGATCTCCTTTTGCTCCTCGTCCAGTGAATAGATGATCTTGTCTCCATTGAGTTCCAGAAATTTTTGGTGACGGAATGCTTCGACGTTCATATTCTTCCTTGATACGTTGCAGTTCCAACAGCTTACCATGATGTTCCCATCGATATGGCCAATCCTATTATTGATACGGTCCGCTGATACGTTATCAGTATCAAGAGAGGTCTTGCAATGAGAGCAGCGGTGGTTCTCTGCAATGAGTAGCTCGTTTAGATGCTTGAGCGTCAAGCTCTCGCTCTCTTCGTCATATTTCCTGTGCCCATAGAGACGCTTTGGTGGATATCTGAACGGCTTGGTCTCGCTAGTCGGGTACTACAAGTTGTTAAAGCAGGTCTTGTACATGATCTTCTCAGCCAATGTTGGAAGACTGATCGCTCATTGAGCATATCGAAGCCATGCATTCGGTACTGCTGACGATGAACATCAATGGCGCGGATGAATGGAGCTACGTCAAGGTTATCGTACAATTTCAATAGATCCTTCAGCGTCTTCATGTTGTGCCTTGACCACGCGAACTTGACTCGCTCATAGTCTTCATCAGAGATGGTCTCGTTCATCCTTCAGTCGAATGCTTCCTTTGGTGGAAGGCTCGTCTCTGACAGCCGATCAAACGAATCGATGTACTCGTACGGGAACACTCCTTTGGTGAGTCCGCAAGAGCATCGACTCCTTAATTCACGTTGACATGAGCCGAGATACGTCGAGAGGTACTTCTCGTAGCTCACGTCAGGAGGCAAGTAGTAGCGCACATCCAAGCATCTTGAAGTTGTCCGTTATAATACACATATAGCTGTTGCCAGCTTTGATAGTCGATAGCTTCCCGTTGTTATGATGATGATGAATAGATACTTCTTGATCAAATTCACATCGTATCGAGCGGAGTTGAACCCGATTATTGGAACTGCCATCAAGAGCCTCTCGATCCTTGAGCAGGTTGAGTTTCCTGTACAGTACAGCGTTCTTTGGGTCGGCACCAGAGGTGCCACGGGACCTTTGGTCCCTGTCTTCCTTGATCATCTTCACTAATACTTTTGGTCTGCAGCTTGAATCTTGGGAGGCATGCTTTCAACAGATGCGATATCCTGCTCAAAAGGTTCGGTTGAAGGTTGAAATTCATAAGGTTGCTCTCGTAGATGCTTGGAGTGATGGCATTTACGTGATCGATCATCTTCTGGAACAATGACTGCGGATCCTCATCCACAAACCAGACAGTATCATCGCTTAGCGAATCTAAGATAGAGACTCTGACAGGGATATGCTCGGAGGTGAATTTAGTAGAGCATCCCTCTTGGGTATCAAGTTTCTCTAAGGTTGCCTCAAAGTCATACACCATGTAGTGAGGAAGGTAGTGATCAAATGAGATGTGATACTTCTGGAGCAACTTCTTGCTCTTGTTTTCACTTGGTTTGTAAGCAGTGGGTTCCTTTGGGAAGGACTCGGTCTTATCTTCGTCGCATCGATTCTGCTGATGACTATTTCGTCGCTCAGCAGATCTAAATATCATCTCGCATTTAGAACATGGATAGCGCTTCATCACTCGATCCGGATTGATGATGAACATTGCATGTCGTTCGTAATCAGGAACGTTCAATGTATCTTCATAATTCGACGTCGATCGCCGTACCAAACCTGCAAACTCCGTCGCGTCATCGCATTGGTACACGTTGATGTTGATCGAGAAGATCTCCTCAAGCCGATCGAAGTGGAAGAGATCAACACCCTCAAACTTTCTGAACACCGTGATACTGTACTTAATCCCCTCAGCCTCACAATATACCTTAAATGCGTTCTTAACAGCTGCTTGAATTCGCCGTGTATCTTTGTCAGGATTCGATCTCTTTAGTCTCGAAACAGTATGCGATGCAAAAGAATATGCATTTGTTTGCCGTGTTCTCAAAATTAATAACCGATTTGCTATTCTTGATGTACTCTGGGATTAGACAGCAACGCTGTCCGGCAATCTCCGATTGCAATTCCACGTCATCGCCCAAGCTATGCGCTCGTTTATAGACAACAACCTTGAAATCAACGATCTCTTTTACCTTCCACGCTGAGCTAGGCTACGAGATCTCCTCAGCATAGTTGGACGCTCTCATCTGCGCAAGCAAATTCGTCTCAATGTCGTCACGCGAATTGATCGACACTGAATTGCAGAAGATAGCAGTAGTGTTCGTTGGGAAGAAGTAGCGCTCCATCTCGTCAGTGATGTCCGTAAGAATAAATAAGCCCAATATTCAATTTGAACATCTTGTTCTGTGCGTATAGAACTTCACCGAGCAATGGAACCAACTCGTCTTGACTGATACGTCGGGATGGTTAGCAAAATCACGGGCTCACGAATATTCATGAGCCGGTCAAACAAGGCAAAATTACACAGATCATGCTGAAATGAGCTGGTGTAGAATGTCTGTGAGCAGCTCAAACGATGCAAAATAATAGAGACCATGCGAAATACCGAGCAGGAGAACTTCTCTTGCTCAGTATGTAGCAAAAAAAGAGTGTGTTACTGTTTAACACGTCCACCGAGCTTAGCTACGAATACCCCACAGATCTTCAATCAAAGCATCGTGTTCCTTTTCCCTGTCACGTTGTTGCTCACGAATATTCTCTAATTCCTTGTCCTCCTTCTGTTTCTCATCCTTGATTCGTTGATTATGCTCTTCCACGAAGCAACAAGGTCTCACGATACATTTCCTCCATTCGATCCTTATGCGCTCGAAGAGCCCAGTCGGGGGCGCCCGTGTCTGGGCGATCCCACGCTTGCTTGACGCATCTCCTTCATCTTTTCCGTACAGTATTCGCTGCTCTTCATCTTTCTACCTTTATACTATAACTCTCTGCGGTTCAATTTGGTGCGTCGAATATAATACGTGAAACACCCTTCGAGCGTAATACCAGCTGGAGAAGTTGTGAAACACGTACAATTCGATATTAGTCATATGAAAATATATATTAGGCTCCATCACATGAACTGGAAACCCATGAACTTTCCGACGAAGGCGGAGTCGAAATCGGCGACTTGATGAACGTATTGTTGCGGAGCATATCGCTTGGAGCAACACGTCTCTGATAACCACCATCAGTAGTCAATGAGCTCAAGCGAGCTCGGTGTGCTTCATGTTCAACGTCCTCACAACGCTCCTTGAGCGAAACGAGAGCTCCTTCACACTTGCGCAGTCTGTTGATGACAGAGACCTCCGCTTTTGCTATGGATGCCCACCCGTTGTCTGGGTAGCTGGCGTTGCAGTGGTGTCGGCAGTCGTATGCGCGTTGGTCCATTGTTTTAAAATGAATGGAACATGTGAGACCATCAGGTTTACCACGGATTCTGATGAGCCAGTGGTGCGAAACGCATCGGGAGCAATGCGGTATGAGAATCGAATTCCATCATGCGAATCGCGTGAAAAACCAACCAATCGACGCTTATACCGCATGCGAATCGCACGTAGGGCATCTTGCGGGTGGCATCTGCTACTGGTGCGAAACGAGTCGGAAGTATGAGAATCGCATTATACTATGCAAATCGCGCGGAAAACTAACCAATCGCATGCGAATCGCACGTAGCATCGGGTTCTGATCTTGCGGGTGCATCTGCTACTGGTGTGAAATGCATCGGAAGTATGAGAATCGCACGTATGGCGTCGTTCTGATCTTGCGGGTCGTAGTGCATCGGATTCTGATCTTGTTCATGGAATCTGATCTTGTGAGCAACACAAGATCTGGTTGGATTAGAATCGGAAGCCGCACGGTATGAGAATCACTCTACCACATGTGGTTCGTATTTCGTTTGTCGATCGTGTTCGTTACTGTTGCCTCTCGATTTCATACGTATTTCCATGTGCGAGTCGTGTGTAGTTGCGCTCTCTTGCTTACTGATTTGCTCAGTTCCCAAATACAACAGACATGTCAGCATCGCAAAGGAAAACAAAGTGTTCCGGTGTTTGTAGAACATATGCTTACTGGAAGAGTTGTGAAGAAGATGGTTTCGAACCTTGCAAGTATTATTGTGACAGACATTACAACACACGCCTCGGACGAATATCTAACCCGATTCGATCACACCCAAATCTGTCCCTGCAAAAATAACATGGGCAGCAATACCAGATTCGACGACTTCGAACACGAAAAAGCTCCAATGGTTTCCACTACTTCGCGCAGGAGTGACGTTTCGCTATTTCTTGGCGAGCAGCAATGTTCTCAATCTTTTGGTATTCATCAACGCCAAGAAAGAGGTACAATGTTGCTGCGTCTTGTAACTTCGCACGTAGCTTGTGCTCGATGACTTCGACGGTATCTGAAACGTCAACTGATTTGCATTGCCTGGCAATCGCCTCGCAAACCATTTGTCGAATGCATGCGATCAATTCTTGTCCAGAAAACATCGATACAGCAACCCCACGAGAAAGACTTTTCGATTGCTCGACTGGCTGGGAGTTAAACCCGTTGAAGTACGGCACGATCACCCTGGCAATGCGGTTACGGTCTACCTTCATTTCTTCTAACAGGATGTTCTTGCCTTCTTCCAACAAACGCGTTTCTCCCAAACCAGAAATACCAGAGCAAACAGGCATGGGAGCCTGCGTGGTGCGATCGCAAGAGGTCGTTCCATGACCTGCGATGTTATTGCTGAAGCACAGCACTGCTATAGCAAGCGCAACTGTAAATTTTCGGCTGCGAAAACATGAAGTTTAAAAATGATTGCATCCTTGTTGGTCATTTCACCTTTTCAGAATGTGCGGAGATTATCACAAGACCAAGATCCACTTGCGCCCAATTGGTTCAGCACCCAGTTGCTCTGCCTCTTCCGTCGAAACGACCACCAACACGTGAATTTGGTGAGTTAATGGTGGAGACATTTTGTTCTTCTCGAACAGCCAATGCTGCAAAGTCTTCGTCTCCTCCATTTCGTTAAATGAGCAGGTGGTTCATGAAGTGACATGCTGACCTTTAACGACAAAGGCAGTGTGATTGCACCAGCATACTTGTTTCGACATTCACTCTGAACGCACCAGCATATCTTGTCGAGTCGTTCATGTGTTCGACTTCACTACCACTGGGACTATAAACATTCACTCTGAACGCTTTTATCGCTTTGCATCCTAACTTACCGACTGCCATTTGCTGTCGCAGGCTACGCGGAGTTGTTTGTTTTCCCCTAGTTAAACCCTGCATTTGCCTGAAACAAGCTTTCATCTCATCTCTTCTTCTTCTTTGATTTCGTCGTCTCACTGTGCCTTCGTTTGCCTGCTTGTATTCGTGTCTGGCGCAAATTATCAATCATTGCTTGCTCCTGCATAGCCTCCGCTTGAAGCTCCATCAGATCGCGCAAAGCTTCTTCTGCTGTTGGTCGTGCTGTCGGGTCATTCAGCATCAACTGCTTCACGAATGCCGTTCGCTGTGATAGGTCATCCCAATTTACACCACTTGTCTCAATCAAGTATCCCACTGCCCATATATCAACAGCAATCGTGTGAGTGCCGCCGCTGACAAAAATATCAGGTGCATGTTCTTCTGTGCTCAGGTGCTCGCCGTTTGGGAAGCGCTGCGGGCTTGTAGCTGCATCAGCAAAATCGATCAAGTACCATTCATCACGATCACGTCGCTTGATCACGTTCGACCAGCGGATATCTCGGTGCATCACCGATTCACGATGTAGGACAACAAGAGCCTCAAGGACATTCCGAAGGGCACCAAACAACTCCAACAAGTTCTGGTGTTTCACCATCATTCCACGAGGCTCAAATATGGCCGTCTTCTTTGCCCGCTTCAGCTTGATGAGATGATCAACATTGGGCACATCGGCTACTTCCATAATGCGATAGATATACCGCAGCTGGTCGAGCCCCTCTTCACTCGGAAAAACCTTCTTGACAACCATTGGATATAATCGCACAACAACACCATTGGAACGGTGAATGGTCTTGAATTCATCCCGACCGGAATCTGGACACGCCTCGGTGATGGCGGGAAAGAGTAGGCACAAGTTCAACAGCGCGAGCACAACTCGAAGCGATCTGCTGCAAGTTCCAAGTCAAACTCTCCAATACGGTAGCTCTCAGCTTTTGGCAGATTACTGGTGCTGCGAAACAAAGCAAATAAATCGATCTTGTAGCCCGACGCAGCATAGCCGAAAATGTAAGGTACTGTTCCATATACCCATGCAAGCTTCTGACAGAGCTCGTCTCGCGGCAGGCGGATGTTGGTGCCAGGTTCTTTCTCTTCACCACGAAAGACGCATACGTCATTCAGGATAAACAAAAAGTCAGGTTGCTTGTTTCCAGTGGATGAATTCTTGCTTGAGTCGCGATTCATACGTGCGCGAGTGAACACAACATCGAGCACGGCACGAAACACCGTATCCCAAAACCAATGGTATGAACTCTCGGATTCTCCACTGCGTAGCGGTTCCAACATATTTTCTATCTTCGTTTTGATCTTCTTACACGGCGCCACATCATCAGTCGCAAATATTTTTTCTCGAACATCCGCGCTGACGCCACCAGGAAATGATGACCACGCAAATAGAGTCTTCTTCTTCATCGAAATCTTCACAGGCAGAGGTTGCTCGATGAAGCTTGGCAGCGACACAATCGATGGCAATGAGTGATACTCGATCCTTTTCGTGTGGAACTTCGCCAGCCATTTTTCCGTGCTATCGCGATGTGCTTCAAACAAGTCTTGGGCACTCCCTGCAACACTCTTGGCAGGAGAACCACTGGCGCCTTCAGGAATGACAACCAACACGTGAATTTCGTCCGTTGATGGTTTAGGCACATCCTTCAACAACTTCTGAAGGCCAGACTCGCCCTGCAGTTCACTGTCTTCATGAATCAAAGCTTCAATTAGAGCGGTCTTCTCGCCTTTCTTGAGCTTTTTCACGTCGTCTGTATCGGACTCGAGCCACGCGTCGCCGTTCTTGGCAAGTTAAAGATTAAGCTCATCCGCGTCGCAGTTGATCTTGTTCTCCTTCTCCTTCTTGATCAGATTCTTCAAGTCTCCCACAGACTCGCGTGCAGCGATGTCAATAGGGAACGCGCTTCCCCGCTCGCCGACCACCACGCAGAACAGCTTCAGCATTGTTCCTTGCGACACAAACCTATGAAATAACCTTGATTATGAGGTTTTTACTCGAATGCAATAACGGAAATGTATTTGCAATGATAGATGTAATTCGAAATGAACGAAAAATCACAATAACATTAAAAAGTGATGGGATTTATCCA